AAGATATCTAGATTTTTGAGTAAGAAACTTACAAGTTGAGTTCGGAGCGGTTCGCTGATCAAGGCACCGATCTGAAGTGTTTTGGTCGGCTTGGTCTCAGAAACCGGTATGTGGACCGTTTCTTTTGTCGGGGCAGCTCGCTCCTTTGTATGCTCCGCTGGTTGTTCGAGCTTGGCATCCTCCGCCATCTTTGCCATTCCTTTCAGGGCGGCCACGTAGCACTTACGGGATTCGAGTTGTTCACCTCACACGACCCCCACACTGTAATCAGTTGGGAACTTCATCACTAAGTAATAGGTGGACACTATCACATGTAGAACGTGTGTGATAGGGCGACCTATGATCACATTGTAATGGGATGGAGTCGCGACCACCAGAAAAGTGCGCTCAAATCGTATGGCGTTGCGCCACGTGCCTGCCTCCACTGGTACTGTGACCTGACCAAGGGGTCTGACCTCTTCTCCGCTAAACCCTACCAAGGGTGCATCTGCTGGTTTTAGGTCTTTCTGCTGTAACTGCAGCTTATCGAAGGTCTCCTTGAAGAGGATATCCGCCGAGCTGCTCAAGTCCACCAGATTCCGCTTCACTTCGAAGTCGTTGATTTTGAGTTTCACAACTAAGGCATCCATCATGTGGATACTGAATCCTGTGCACATCATCCTCGATGAAGTAGATAGATTCTTCGAGCCGAGGTCGCTTTGGCGGGTTTTTTCCTTTGTGCCCCAACTCACGGACCAATGTCCTCCCTACTGTTAATGTGCACCCCACAATGATGGACCCGCTGATGATCATATTGATCACACTACGGATTGGTCTCTCCTCTGGTAACTGCCGAGGTGGTTGCTCGTTCTACTTGCTAGTCTCGGGGTCATTCCTTCTCTGGTCTCCATGATGATCTCCCTGTCGATCTCCCTATCCTCTCTCCTTCCACAGGATGTAATTCTTCAAGTAGCCACGGCGGATGAGCTCCTCGATCTCGTCACAGAGATTCCTGCAATTCTCTGTGCTGTGACCGTTATCCCGGTGGAAGTGGCAGTAGACATTTGTGTTTCTTGTTGCTGGATCTCTCCTTAGCCTGTGTGGCCATTTAACGATGGAGGAGTCCTTGATAGCCATTAGGATCTCCCCTCTCTTTGCGTTAAGGGGGGTGTAGTTAGTTCGCTCTACTGGAGGGGTCCTGGAACAACAACCTGACTTGTAGCCGCACAAGGAGAACTTACTTCTCGAACGTGGGGATTTGCTTCTTTTTCTGCTCGGGGACTTACTTTTCTTTCTTTTTTGCTTGTCATTGCTTGTCCCTTCATCCTCTCTCTTCCTCTTTTCACCCAGCGGATTGTCAATCTTCTGGTTGATTTCCTCTTCGGTGCCGATAAACTGATCGGCCAGCTTGAGGAACTCGGTGAGGTTCTTCGGTTTGTTTGCTACCACGTGCCACTTGAACTCTCTGTGGGTGATTTCCTTCTTCCCTGCAGTGAGGTGCACCACTGGAGTCTGTTATCTGCAGGCACATCTCATTGAAGCGCTTGATATAGCTTCTGATAAACTCTCCTTCCTTTTGCAGCACGTTCAGAAGGCTCTCCTGTGACTTCGGGAACTTCCTACTAGTGATGAAGTGTGCCGTGAACAGGTCGGAAAACTGAGCCCAACTCTTGTTGAAGCCCGGTGTGAGGTTCCTATACTAGGTCCAAACTATTCATTTGAATGTGGTGAAGGTCACACACATGCAGGCTTCGTCAGCCCCGATGAGATGCATCTGAGACTAGGGCATTCACGTGGTCACTGGGGTTGAGTGACCTATCATAATTGTCTAGCGAGGGTACCTTCCTTTGGCATCGGGGCCGTTAAGAGCTCGGGTGACAGGGGAGATGGCCGGCTCAGCAGAGCAGGCACAGTTTTCGTCGCCACCGAGCTCACCTCTTCTCTTTCTTTGGTCCGCTCCACTGGCTGGCTGGGCTTTGCTAGCGGACAGTTTCTGGCTGAAGAGCGACAAATCTTTCATCGCCACTGCTGTTGCTTCTTTGCCGACTTGACATTGGTGTTGTTGACCTCAGTCTGGTCTGGTACCTTGACCTTAGTTCTCTCGCGCTCCCAAACACTATCGCGAGGTGGATTGGGGTTCCTTCTCGCTGACTCCTCCTGGTTATGAAGCCTGCGCTGGTTATGGTGAGGTGCAGAGGGGGCTTGCCTCGAGTCTGCGCCCTGGGCTTCGAGTTGAGGATCTTCTCTCCATGACCTATTGTTCTCAAGCCACGAGTGTTGCGGTTGGTTGGCTCTGTCGGGCTGGTTGACTTTAGGCCTGTCCCCAGGTTCCCCCTCTGAGAGATCGGGGAAGTGCGCTGCCTGTTCGTCCTGCCTCATGGTGGAGTCTGGTTCTTGGGAACTACTAGTACCTGCGATGTCCCCTCACCCCGATGGAGAGATTGATGGACATTCTGCGTAGATCTATGCGGGCTTCGATTCCACCCCTGACGCTGAGTGAACTAGGTCATCGAATTGTTGGACTTGCTAGAATTGCTGGACTTGTTGCATTTGGATCTACATCGTCCGGACACATTGAACCAGGTCATCGAACTAAGAGTGCCCAACCCCTGGGGGAATCACAGAATGCTCTGAGAAAGCTGTGCCCACCTGGGGGAGCGGGACGCTCACTTGCCGGGTGGTCTGCGGTACAGACAGTGATGGGACCCCCAAAGCTGTGAGGGGAATGATAAACTGACAGATACACATTGTGGGAGCTTGAGGGAGAGTTGATTGCTGATCTTGCCCCCCGGTGATGTTCGTGTCGATACCTTTCCTGGTGTTGTTAGAAGAGTCCATTGAGAGTAAGATAGAGGTTGGAATCACCTTTCGATCGTTCCCACAAATGGCGCCAAAAGCACGATTTGGATGCTCCTAGCTAGAGGATGATCTGGAACTTGGCTACGTGGAGAGCTAGTTTGGTATGCAAAACAGTGAAGCTCAGAGAACCCGGGGTGGCTAACCCGACGAGGTCGCTTTGATGCTTAAGTTAGTATTATGAGCTGAAAGTTGAGTGATAAGTGTACAAGTGAGAAAATAATCGCGCGTACCTTGATCTTGGGGTTTGAAGTCCTTATATAGTTGAGCTGCGCTTCTGAGGGACTCATGAAACAACTCTGGGATCCTCAGCCCGCGTGGTTAGGATCTGTCCGCCCCGGAAGGGAGGTCACATACTAGTCAATGAAGTCTATCACTACCTTCCGATCCGGGCCAGATGAGGATAAGGCCTTCGGTTTCTCGGCGTGATCCCAGGGGGTTCGGAGTCTATTCGGAAACGTCTAGAATCGAACACGTGTCACCTCGGTACATGGGCGACGAAGTGGCTCTCGGTTCCGAGCTGAATGATCACCTGAGCTCCCAATCTGCTAACGAGGCTCTCCTTGCTGAGTTGTCATCTTGTTGGCAGGTCGCATCCACGTGTCCCTTCTTTACTAGGTCGGGCCAAATCACCCTTGATCAACTATGCTGTTTGGTAAGGTGATTTTCATCACCGTTTTTCATGTATGTGTTGACAGGTAAGCACCCCATAGGATGCACATCAGTCAACCGTTGGGGAAAACGGCTCATTGATGCATTGGTGGGGTCCTGATTTTTGAGGCATGCCTAATTTTTTAATAATCGGTTGAACCAAACAATAAGATACATGGGCGTTTGTTGAAACACCTATGTGGATCCGACGTGGCAACGTTTTTTTGAAAAAATGGCCACGATTCCAAACATCACCATAGTGTAAGGAGACGGGATGGCCGGATGGGAGATCTAATCAGCCCCCAACAAGATAATTTCCCACAACATCCCACAGCACATCCCCACCGTGTATTGAAAACATATCCCGATGATAGTACCAAAAATGACAAGGCATCATCGGAAGATGTTCCCAATACATGATGGGGACATTGCGGGAAACTATCTTGTGGGGGCCTGATTTCAATTCGCCGGATCTCCTATACGAATTGGGAACATTTCTCAAGAAAAGTACGAAAAATGTTTACAATGCAAGGTGGGGAGGGATGACTTGTGAGGCCTCCATGGGCGGTCCATCCGAACTGTAGTACAAGGACACATATTAGGCATGTGTGCATGCAAGTAAATGGTAGAGAAATAATTTGATATTATATGATCAAATTTAATTTTTATCACCTGCATCAAAGTCAAGATAATTATCTATATATTTTATAATAATATATACTAGTAGAGCCAATTTAATATGATTCAATATGTTGATATTTGTTGCAACAAAAAATATGGGAGAATATCAAGTGATAAACTAGCTAATAGTTTTTTCTTCTCTTTCTATTTTTTTTCAAAAGAATGTTGTGCTTTTTTTAAAGGTTTTTATATGAAATCCCAAACTTTTTTCCCTCTTAAACTTATCATCTGACATTTCAATACTTGAGACCCCCTTTTCAAACATTTGTCATTGGAAAATGAATTGCAATGACACCCCTCTATTCATCTCTTTCCTTTGAAGGAAACTTCTGAAAATAAACTAATCCATTCATTCAAATTGAACTATTGATGGGTTACAAGATAATCAGTGAACATGAAATATAGATGCATAGATGAGATCGAGAAAACCAGGGGTATTTTTTGTCATATAAAACGTGGTTATTATGGTAGATCGGTCAGTCAAGATATTAACTAATCCATTCATTCAAAGATGGCACATATGGACCATCTTTATCATCATAACTAATTAATACTAACTTGACGGAAGATATTTATTTATGCTATAAATAAATGTTGGTGTAAGCTCTGAGCCTCAGAGAAAAAAGAGAAGTAAAGGGCAGCAGTGTTAGATAATAACCATTTCTTTTATTTAATCCCAAAGAATTAACTAAATGAAATTCTTCAGTTGACCATATTACAGCAAAAATTATATATTTTTGTTTGTTTTGGATCAAATATATGATCATTGACGAATCTCATCAGAATTAACTATTACCACTCTAATTTATTTGTTTAATAAATGTCTTTGACAGGGATATGGGATGACTGAGGCAGGTCTGTTGTCCCTGAGCTTAGGGTTTGCCAAGGAGCCATTCAACATAAAATCTGGATCATGTGGAACAGTCCTTAGAAATGCTGAGATAAAAATCATTGATCTAGAATCTGGTAAATCTTTGCATAGAAATGAAGCTGGAGAAATCTGTATCAGAGGACCACAGATCATGAAGGGTAAGGCTTCTAATCTTTTTCCTTATTTTTGTAATTAACCAGAATTATAAAAACTAATTTAGAAACTAAATTAATATAAGTCTTTTGCTATAAATATTAATGCAGGTCAATAAATAGATAACAGAACCTCAGTTGACTGATGAGACCAACCGGAACTAACAAAACATACTAGTAGACAGCAAATAATAAATGCATGGTTTTAAATTAAACCAACATTTAATAGTCCTCTGGCAAATTCATTGCATCAAATCAACATTCCCGTCCCCATATTAATGAGCATATGGATACAAGGTGCCAAATTAGCAAAATTAGCTGTACAGCATTAATTTTTTTTCTTTCCTTTTCTTTTATTTTGAGATAGAGAGGGATAATGCTACATACTATTACTGTACTTAGGGGTGCTAACACTTAGTCCATTTACATCAAATACCCATAAACTTTTGGAGTTCAACATTATGCCCCCTACACGATACGAGTAGACCTGTTCATGGGCCGGGATGGGCTTTTGCTCTTTATTAACATAAACTTTTCAGGCCCGAGCCCGAGCCCGGCCCGACCAACAGGCCTAAAACTTGGGCCCGAGCCCGACCCTCAAAAAAGCCTGAAGTCCGGGCCTGAGCCCGAAGCCCGACTTGGGAGTCTAAGTGTCGATGCTGTCTGAGAGAATGGTGCCTGTTGAGTTCGTCGATTCCTGAGAGTTTGAGAGTGAGAATAGAAACCCAAAAAGTGAGAAAATAGAAGATGACAACAGTGCCGGCTAGAGAGAGAGAGAGAGAGAGAGAGAGAGAAGGAGAGCTCACCACTCGAGAGAGAGAGAGACGATCTAGATCTGGTGGTGCCAGCCGCCGGTGTGGCGGTGCCTGAGTTTGCATAATGAAAACGGTGCGCTTGGGTTCTGGTGGCACTGACTGGAGAGAGAACTGAGAAGATAGAAGACCTAGTTCTAAGAAGAGAGAGATTTGAGAATGAGAAGAAAGAAGATGAAAACAGTGCCGGCTAGAGAGAGAGAGAGAGAGAGAGAGAGATCACTGCCAAAGAGAGAGATGACTAGTTTTGGTAGAGTCGGCTGTCGGTGACTGAATTCGCAGGTGCAATTGAGTTCACTGGTTCTGAGAGTTGAGAGGGAGAAATGAGAGCCGCTTCTGAGAGTGAGAGTGAGAAAGGAGAATGAAAAGAAAAATTTTAAATATTTAGGGTTGGGCTTTTTTAACAAATCCCGAGCCCAGCTCGTAAAATAGTCGGGCTTGGGCTTTTAAGCCCGAGGTCAAGCTTGCGGGCTAAAACACATGCTCAAGCCCCGTCCGGGGGCCGGGCCGATGGGCCGGCCCGGCCCACGAACAGGTCTACATACGAGGAAAGTAAAATTACTAAATTCCCCATTTTAGATTTGGGTTTCTGTGCTTCCATGCCCTTGCCAAAGAAGAAACAAAGTTCTTCATCATCAAATGATCGAAATACGACATCTTAATCCGAAACAAAATGGTGCTTTAGCATAGCTATTTTCATAATTTTGATGGCTTTTTCTCAGTCTATTGAGTTTTGAAAGAGTGATTTTGTAATTTTACCTTCAATATCTCTTCCGTACGTAATCTGGTAGGAGGCATAGTGCCAAAACCCAAAGTATAGAACAGGGGGGATCTTGTCATCAATCCAAGTTCGGGAATCTAATTGTCACCACCCCTAAGTACAGGGTGGCATCACTAATTTACCCTAAAAGATTAAATAAGGTAATGACGTAAAGTGGGTACTGGGTAGAAACCATTTTTTGTTATGTAGAAATTATTTGTAGTTCAACTTGGCAAATTTTTTGTGACCAAGAGACAGGGATACAAAGGGTGGTGCAAAAAGGGACCGATGTTACATTTGGTTGGTGTTAAAAAATGCCATAAGGGAGTGTTTACATTTAATTTTCTAATAAATAGTAAATTTGATTGGTTATAGGTGACTTTACAAAGTCTCATTTTTTATATATTTTATTTTTTAATTCAAAAAAACTATAATATTTACAGGGGCTGAGACGAGAGTAGAGGATGGGGCAAACTTGGGTTGGATTAGCCTGAACCCAATCAGAACCCTGCATGAAAAACTCGGTTGCTTTGAAGTTTGGGATTAGGGTTAGGGTTGAAAATATAAACCTGACATAATTTTGGGTAGGGTTAAGATTGAGGCTTCACCAACCCAAACCGAACTTATCTTCAAACTAGCATGTATAAATATTATAGAATGATTTATTTATATATGTAAAGCAATGTATGTATGTATGCATGTGTATATATATATATATATAGATATATATAAATACATGCATGATACCAAAAACACTTATATCCAATTAATAAGTATCATAAAAGAGGTGACCAATTAGGTGGCATTCATAAAAAATCACAGGGATGCTTTGATTAGTGAAAGATCTTCTCATAACATGTCTTTTTAGTATCATAAATTTTGCCAATAATTTAATATTTAGGCCCCGTTCCCCTTCCGAAAAGTTATTTGGGTAAATGCACCCATATTTTTTTATTTCCCATGTAAATAAAACAATGACCGTTTTAGTCATAAAAATCGATTATTATAAAGGGAAATTTTGTCACATTCAAGTGATATCAAGGAAAAATAAATTTTCCATAAACCTCACATAAATCTGAAAAAAAAACATAAATATCTATATTAATGAGAACCAAAATTACATTAACCAACTTTTCTCCTTCTCAAAATTCAAAAAATGAACGGGCAAGTGTATATGATAATTATGTCTGTTTACATCGTGCTAAAACTGAGTTGACTTCAACTCTTGAATCTAGTAAAGATAAAAACATTTGACAAAAGTAGAGATGTCAGGCCAATCCGAATCCAACAGAATCTAGCATCACTCTGAAGGCAGCTAGGATCCAACTCCACGTTCATTGCAAAGTGAAGGCCTTCAGGGGTTGCAAGGGGCAAATACCTTTTTTGGAAATGCAAATGCATTAATAGAAATTTCATTCATACAAGTTGGAGAAAATGACAAATGCATTAATAGAAATGCAATTGAACTGAGCTCTTCCTAATAGATAGGTGGTCCATTATGCCGTGTCAATGGTTAACCAAATTTGAGGTAACTCATTTACGACAACCTGTCTTATATTTCACACAAAATTTAGTTGCATTTAACATAAAAAAGAAGGCACTTTATTTCATGGTTTTTAAAACCAGATCGGACCGGACGGTCGGATTAGAAAAATCAGGAACCAGTCAAGTGACTGGTTTCATTTTACTCCAGAACCGTTATTTTCTCCAAAATTGTTAATTTGGTCAATAAACCGCTGATTTGGGCGATCAAACCATTTGAACTGTTCATCGGTTTGACCAGTTTTTTTTTTATTATTTGTTTGTCAAAAAATGCCGTTCATTCAGTTCGAACGATCGAGCTGTTCAACCTAGAAACCAGACCCCTTACCGATTTATTGTCCAGGTCAGTTTTAAAAACCTTGCTTCATTTAATCATTTATGATGATGAAGTGCCATTCAGTGAAGCACAAATAGGCAGCGTATTCTAGTGCAATCTTATGGTAATACTAGTACATAAGGTGGACTAAGTACTTAACCCTATTCTATTTTTCAGGCTATCTGAACAATCAAGAAGCAACTCAAAGAACCATTGACAAAGAGGGCTGGTTACATACAGGAGACATTGGATATATTGATGATGATGATGAGCTCTTCATTGTGGATAGATTGAAGGAACTCATCAAGTACAAAGGGTTTCAGGTTGCCCCTGCTGAGCTCGAAGCCATTCTAATCAATCATCCAAACATCTCTGATGCTGCTGTAGTCCCGTGAGTCCTATCCTTTCTATATATTTCCTGGTTCTGATTCTAGTAATGCTATAACATTCTGACTAGATCAGTTTTGGTATATTTTAGCGTGAAGGATGAGGCAGCAGGGGAGGTGCCAGTTGCATTCGTTGTGAGATCAAATGGGCCTCAATTAACTGAGGATGAAATTAAGGAATACATCTCCAAACAGGTATATTTAGGGTATAATTAATTAATTAGTTTCTGACTCAAAAATACTTGTTGATTTCTTTTTATTATGAGGCCCTCAGCCCTTATATAGGATCTGTTTGTGCAGGTTGTATTTTATAAAAGGATTAAGAGGGTTTTCTTTATTGATGCCATTCCAAAGGCACCATCTGGCAAGGTCATAAGGAAGGATTTGGCAAAAAAATTGGCATCAGGTGTTCCAGTTTAATCAGAGATATGAAAACTAGCTAGCTCATTTTCTTTTCATTAAATCTTAGAAGAGCAAATCCATCAATAACCAGTCTTGAGCATTGGCTCCATATATATGAGTCAAGGTTTGTGGAGGTCTCAAAAAGACATCCTCTTGCAAGGATGCTCCATGTATTAATTGTATAGATGAACTATACGTAGTAGTGGTACACTCAAATAACAACTCTAATAGCCAAACAACGTTATCTCCAAAACTTATCATCAAAGTTAATTAGAAGATGAAAACTCCTTAATACACACCTTCAGGCTCAGTTTGGAAGGAGTACAAATACAAATATATAGAGTGCAAAACTTTGTATTTTGTATTATTTTGTATATATGTGTATTGTACATATTTGTATTTGTACTCCTTCCAAACTGAGCCTTAAGCGCAATGATCTAGCACACATATTGAGCTTGGAATGAAACACAATAAACCAAGAGGATAATCCTTTGCGAATACGTTGGCATTCTAGTTAACATGGCATACCATGAACAACTTCTTGATCACACGATCCCTAATGAAGTGGAAATCTGCTTCAATGTGCTTGGTTCTTGTTCAGTAGATTGACTACATGAGATTAAGAAGGCAAGAACCCCAAATTCATCAAAGAGAGTTTGAACCCAAATAGTTTCGGCTATTGCATATGAGAAAAGAATAAGGCTGAGTTTGGAAGGAGTACAAATGTAAATATGTAGAGTGCAAAACCTTAGTATTTACACTGTACAAATTTGCATTTGTACTCCTTCCAAACTGAGCCCAAGGGAAAAATTGTTTTCATTGATCTTTTCAATGCACTCATTATAGTGTTTATATACAAAGAAGTGTAGTCCAATACAAATTACAACACTAGAGAAGTTGAGGATAACGATTACCCTAGAGAAGCACAAAGTGAGGTGATGCTTATCAAATAGAATCACTTGCTATAGTTGCATGTTGCGCATGGGATCTGACGACGTGGTCACCAAACTGAGAGCCTTGGTCATGATATCAACAACTTGATCAATAGTAGAAATGTATGTCACAACAAGAGACTTCTTGTTCACCTTTTCCCTTACGTAATGAAAATAAACTTCGATGTGTTTCATACGGGTGTGAAACACAGGGGCAGCTGAAGATAAGTGCTCCGATGTTATCACACCAAAGAATAGGAGGGTCAGCAATGCAAAAGTCCGGTTCTGTCAAGAGAGAGCAAAGCCACATGAACTCAGATGAAGCACAAGCAAGACTTCTATACTCCAATTTTGAACTAGATTTAGAGACAGTGGCCTGCTTATGAGAGAACAATGAGATGAGATTGTTTCTCATTAATAGGGGTGGATTCGAGCTGAGTCCAGCCGAATACAAAGCTTGAGCTTGAGCTTGAGCTTGGTCGAGCTAGAACCTTGAGCTCGAGCTTGGCTGAGTCAAAAACTCATAAGCTCGTGCTTGATTTGAGAAAAATGTTTTGTAAAAGTAAAAAATTATATATAAAAATATTTTTTATTTGATATTTAAAAAATTAAGAATTATAATATTTTTATTATATATTTTATTTTCTATATATATATATATATAAGCTTGGATCGTGGCCACCCCTACCCATGAAAATGCAGACCAATGATCGTCTGGACAACCAGCCCAGTCAGCATCCAAAATGCATGGAGACACAAAGGGAGGAAGGTGTGAAGCAAAGACCAACATCAATTGTGTACTTAAGATACCAAACAATTTGTTTTGCAGCAGTGTAATGGGAGGTGGTAGGCCGATGCATGAATTGGAAGATCAGCTAGCGGTTCACCGTCATCACTTCGTAATTGAACACTAGTAGCTAGGGGAGTCGTGACTGGTTTAATACCATCAAGCGCCTTCTTTGGTGAGAAGATCAAGAATATATTCCTGTTGTGATAAGCGTGATAAGAATAGACTAAAAGTGGTATGCATAGCCTGTACCCTCAAGAAATAGTGTAGTGGCCCTAAGTCCTTAACTGCAAAGATAGAACTCATCTAATCAACAAGAGAGGAGATGGATGTTGCGCATGAGCCAGTGACTATGATGTCATCAATGTAAATAAGAACAAAAAGATAATGTCCACCATCGTGGCCAATGAAAAGAGAGGTATTAGATGTAGAGGCACTAAACCGAATAGACTAGAGGAAAGAGTTGAGCTTTTGATACCTAGCTCGTGGTGCCTGATTTAGGCCATAAAGAGAGCGTTGTAGATGGCACATGAGTTGGATGGCGTTGATCAACAAAACCCAGAGGTTGTACCACATACGCATCTTCTTCAAGTGACCCATGAAGAAATGCATTATGCACATTCAATTGGCACAAATCTCAACCATGAGATATAGCAAGAGGGAGAACAACCCAAATTGTAGTGGGTTTGATAACAGGAGTAAAGGTTTCTTGGAAGTAAAGGCCAACACATTGATTACATCCCTTAACTACAGGACATGCTTTGTAGCATTCAATAGATCCATCAAACTTCCATTTTAAACGAATAAAAGCCCACTTACATCCAACAACATTAGCACTAGGGGGTGGTGTAAGAGTCCAGGTGCCATTCTTCATCAAAGAATGCATCAAATTCTTCATTGCTTGTGTATAACAAGTTAGGTCATTAATAAATGTAGGGAGAGGATGCTTTCTATCAGCCAATGAGAACATCAAATGTGGCTTAAAAATACCATGTCTCCATGGGATGATTATTAGTTACAGATGTTGGCCATTGAGAGGTAGGATAAGTGTGAGAGTTGACTTTAAGCAATTGTTCATTATATGAGAGCCATTTCGATAAGATGGCGATGCTTATGCTCATCCCAACCATTCTGGGCCTGAGTGTGAGGGCAAAATGTATGGCGAGTGAAGGCAACTTGCTGAAAATATGAAACTCATAGCCACCATCACATCGGAAAGTTTTGATAGAAAGCTCAAACTAATTTTCAACTTGTTTCTTAAACATAACAAAGGTAGCAAAAGCATCGAACTTGTTCTTTTAAAGGAAACACCCAATAATAGCAACGTATAATCATCAACAAAACAAATATAAAAGCAAAAACCGCCACTAGAGATAACCTGGGATGGTCCCCATAAATTACAATGATTGAGCTCCAAAGAGCTTGAACTCTTTGAATCATTGTGTGTGAAGGGAAGACAATGAGATTTGCCTAGTGGATAAGGCTGGCGGAAGGAGAGAGATGTGGAGGACGCAACAAGATCAAAGTCATGAACAACTTTATGTGTAATGTGAGCAGATAGATACCCTAACCTATAATGCCATATTGTAACAAGTGTTCTCTTCGACGCGCCATCAAGTGCCATCTACTGTGCCTACAGCTGCAACTCCAGTGTCCAAGTGTGTGCCATGGGTGGGCTAAGCATGTACTTTTGTATGGGGGACTGCCAACGGCAATATTGTAATATTGTAGTACACTTTTTCATCTTTTTGATATTTCTTATTGTCACTCCCCCAAAAGCTTAACGTACTCTTTGAGGGGAGGTAGGTAGTCGAGTGAGCTCATAAGCGTGTAAAGGTTAAGCACGGGATCCCCTCGACACTGTACTGTGTGCTTGTGCTTGCCACTGATTATTGCAATACAAATAGCCTTTTGCTAATTCGTGTTCCATCTTGTTGCCTTTTTGTGTGTGTTTGCTTTGTTGCGTAGGTTTACTCGCCCCTTTCGAGTGCCGCACGGGACCCCAATGATTACCCCCGTGACAGTTGGTATCAGAGCAGGAGCTCCTTTTAAGCCATTCGACCCGCGACGTGAGTGACAACATGAAGCACAAAAGGGACATCGTGGAGGAGATCGAGTATGGACTCTCCACAGCCCATGAGGCCGATGATGCGCCCGTTGATGACATCGGCAAGGACAAGGAACCGATGGCCAGCAAACGTGAGAAATCTTCCAACAAGCATGCAGTCGTTGAGTTGCGCATGCTGCGTTGCGAAGCCACCGTAGGTGAGATGCGAGACTCGATAGACGAGCTGCATCAAAACATGGAAGACATGGACAACACATTGGTCGAGATTGAAGGTCGCTTGAGTGGAGTCGTGGACGAGGTCCGAGACATAATCAATGGCACGCTCAAGCAAATTTGCAGCACTGCACACCAACAAGAAACAAGCTCCTCCAACTCGCAGGTCCAAGACAGGCTTGATAGTTTTCAAGCTCAGCTCGATGAGATGAAGAACGAGTGGGCAACGTGGAGAAGACGCACCTCCACATCAATGACTGTCCAAGCCCAACTAGATGAAATGAGAGCGGAGTGGGCCTCAATGAAGTCAGCTGCACGTTCCTCCTCCGATACCCAAGTTCGATTAGAGGAGCTCAAAGCAGAATGTGCAATCCTGAAGAGGGCCGTCGCTAATCCAGCCAATACTTCCTTTACACATACTCCCTCCCACATTAAGATTAGGGAGCCAACCCCCTATTCGGGTACCCGCAATGCACGAGAGCTTGACAACTTCCTGTGGCAGATGGAACAATACCTTGTCGCTGCCAATGTGACCGATGAAATGACTCAGGTACGTACTGCTACTATGTATTTAACTGATGTCGCTATGTTGTGGTGGCGCAGAAGGTGTGTTGATATTGAACGTGGTACGTGCGTTATCCATACCTAGGCTGACTTTAAAAGAGAGCTGAAGAGACAGTTCTACCCAGAGAATGTGGAATACCTCGCTCGTCGCAAGATGAAGACTCTCAAGCACGGTGACTCCCTCCATGACTATGTCAAAGAGTTTTCTGCCCTCACATTAGAAGTCACCGATATGTCAGACAAGGACTTATTGTTCAACTTCATGGATGGTCTAAAGCCTTGGGCCGAGCTCGATCTCCAACGATGCAATGTTCAGGACCTTGCCTCTGCCATGGCTGTGGCCGAACAACTTAGTGAACAGAGATTGTCGGATGACGAAGGAAGTAGACCAGCCAGCCCGCGTACCACACAGTTGAGTGGGGGAGATAGACAACTCAGTCCTCCGAAAGAGAAGCCACCCTCCAGCCACAAACCAGTCGAGCACCACAAGGGGAAGCAGCCACAAGGAAGTCAAAGCTACTACAACAACAGATATCAAGGGAG